TAAAGCTTGACATCGTGCCGCTACTTGATGAGATCTCGGAGTCGGCCACCGCCATTGGTGCCGTGAACACAGTAATACCTATACCTTCGCAGAATGGATCGAAACCACGCTTGCTTGGCGATAACACAGACTGGCGTGGCATGGTCTATTCGCTGCGGTCGGCTGGACTGGTGACGGCAACGGAATCAACGGCAGGCGGTGCAATGGTGGTGGGCTCTGGTGGTACTAGCCGAGCCGCTATATATGCTCTGCACTCCCTCGGATACAGCCCTATCTACGTCGTCGCACGAAACCCTAATGCAGCAGACTATCTTCGTTCGTCTTCGTCATTCCGTGACAACATCAAGATCGAGCAGGTAGCCGAGGCCAGCCAGGTACACAAGCTACCAAACGTCATTATTAGCACAGTGCCCGCAGACAAGCCGATCGATAATTCGATGTGGGAATTATTAACAACCCTGTTACAGCAGACTAAGAATATCGAAGGCCCCCGAGTTTTATTAGAGATGGCTTACAAGCCTCGCCGTACGCCATTGATGGAGTTGGCCGAGAACTCGGGATGGACTACTATTCCTGGTCTAGAGGTGCTCGCCTCCCAAGGCTATTACCAGGTACGTGAGAATCAACAATAGCGCTGACTATGATTCTGTACCTATGTTGCTAACGAAGTTTGCCTACAGTTCCAACTCTGGACGGGTATTGTACCCCTGTTCTCCGACGTACGCACAGCTGTGCTGGGCAATGGTGAGAATCAGCCCACCGCTTCCAGCTGAACAATTTCCAAAAGTAGACTACGTGATTAACTTGCTTCATATAGCCCCATAAATACATAAAAAATTTCAGGGTTTCACGATAATACTTGATTTTTTTTTTAATTCACATGATAGAAACTTTTTTTTACATTGGAGCTCCGCGGAATTCGTGATCCCTACAATAGGGGCAAAATGCAGCCTGGAGCACCAAGGAGAATAAGAGCGCAGTATCCGAGTAGAAAGTGATAGGCTGCCTCAAATCAATTATAGAATTTTCGGTTTCGTTCTTTTCAAATCGTATAATGGTCAACTGACTAGGTTAGGCGGAGGCGGAGGCGGAGGCGAGATCTACCCGAGAGGATGGTTATAGATCTATGGCCGACCCTTGTATAACATTGATTTGCGTAGTCTTGCGGCGAAGCACATATTCGCAGCTCGTGGCGGGAGGCGGATAGCCGCGCGTGCCTCTCACATGTAAGTATAAACTTGAAAGCAGAAGCTATAGGCAGCAGTATTTAAATTGTTGAGGCGACGTCCTTGTTTATGCTAGTAGGTTACGTGTTGATTCGTGTTATAGAAACACCGCCACAAACGTCCCGTCCCTGATCAAGCCACACGGCCCCTGTAATTTTCACATGTGGCTAAATTAGCAGATGTACCTACATAGCTAGAAGTACCTAGGTAGCTTCCATATAAGCGAGGCGGACCTCTAATCCCGAGCCGGCCGGGTGGCTTCGGCTAATGCCGAGTAGATTCTAGAAGAAACGAGCCAACGAGAGTAAAGGATAGCTGACTCAACAATACCTTAGGTACTTTACTTGTTATGGCCATGCATAGTATACCTAACCTATGTAGGTACCGGCTATACCGAAGGCAGCCGCAGGCCGAAACCGCGCCCCGATGAACGCTTCCGTTTGCCTATTCCGCCTATTCTGCAGCATATGTACATATATTATTTTATGCGCAGCAGTATATGTATACGAGCGAGAGGGCAGGAGGTGGGGGGTGGGGGTTGGGGGTTGGGGGTTGGGGTGGGGGGTAAAAACGCAGAGCGACGACATTTCTAAGTTTGGACCCCTGTCGGTCATGCCCGGTGACGTCGTTGGTGCCTCGGGGTTATGCAACGAATATGCATGTCGTGCAGTAGCCTTGATGGGATTACATACGTACCTAGGTTAGGTAATGTACATAGGTAGGTATGCATGTAGGTGAGTATGGATACGAACGCAACGCAACGCAGCGCAGCATTGAACTATGTAGCACCTATGTCATATATGTAGGTAGAGTGTACCTAACCCTACTACATTTATGTATGTAGTGTACCTAATGTATGGCACAGGTCGTATCTCAAATACACCACGCAGTAAATAGATAAAAATATAAGTCGAAACACCTTTACTGGGGCCACCCTAGTGGGGGCCACCCATTTCCCATACAAAATCAACGATTTCGCATATTTATATTTAATTTAAGAAAATAGATAAAAATATACGGTTTTTAATTTTAAATAGAGTATTATATTCTTATTATATATAAAAATTGAAAAAACGTCAGGGCTAATATTTGTGGTGAAATGAGTATAAAAGTATATATTAACAGTTATACATATAAATTTATATGTAAAGCTATTAAGGGATATTATTGCTTATAATTTTACCAATTAATATATTATAAATATAAAATTAATATTATTAAATAAAGACCGTTTTGTTGGAATATGGGGAATAGCTAATTATGTAATCTAGTCACGTGCCACAACGTGCGTGGGGCTAAGCCTAAAAGGGTTTCCTTTTTAAGCTAACCCACACACACACAACTTAACAACAAGCAACAACAGATCGTGATAGCCTCATGTCAGATTATCCACTTGACCAAAAGGTAACTTGTAATGTCATAAAATGTCATTACTTATTATATGCGACACACCCCCCTAGGTTTCGACAAGACGGCGAAAACTGGCACTTTTATGCTCAAAATCATGCTCGTTACTTGACTCGAACGTGAGGTCTTTTTGGGTGGTGTACCAATTGGCAGGGATTAGGATCTGGCACGGTTTTTTCCTAGCGTTAAATCGGAATCGAACGTATGAGACTCTTAATTGTCACACAACTAATACGTACTGAATAGGCGTTATATGAGGTCTAATTCATCATATTTCTGATGATCTGATTGATTGAGGTAAAATCGTGGGAACGCGTGTTACACCGCTATTTTACATGAGACTAGGGATTTTCAGGTCACCTGACATGGCTGACTAATCTGACACCTCATTTCAGTACCGTGTGTTTCGTTTCCTTCCTTTTCCTTTGCCGTACACTTATTGGTGTACACCTAATCCTTACCTAATTATTACCCATACCTGGTCCTTCCTACACGTTTTAATATAACTTTTAAATTAAATATAAAATATATAACTTATTTATTTAAAAAGTTTAATATTTAATTTTATATAAAAATTTTATTAAATTATTATAAAACCTTATAAACGTTTATAACTTTTTAAAGCAATAATATCCTTTAACAGTTTTACATATAAATTTGTATGTATAATTGTTAATGTATACTTTTATACTCATTTCACCATAAATATTAGCCCTGACGTTTTTTCAATTTTTATATATAATAAGAATATAATACTCTATTTAAAATTAAAAACCGTATATTTTTATCTATTTTCTTAAATTAAATATAAATATGCGAAATCGTTGATTTTGTATGGGAAATGGGTGGCCCCCACTAGGGTGGCCCTAATAAGGGTGTTTCGACTTATTATTAAAAACTTGCTTACATGCGCATAAAGCAGGATATACACTATGTCACTAATCATTTCTAAGCAATTGTTTTTTTTTGTTCGTTTTTTTATTTTTACCTTCTGTTGTTTCTTTTAACCCGCTGGAGGTAGGGTAAGATGCTACCTAACGGCGGGCTATCTACATACATACCTCCTGTACAATACATTAGGTACACTAACTACTATCTGGATATTATCATTTGCGCCATGCACGTACATACATACACATACATGATGATATCCATGCCTTAAGCTTAGCTCTACTCTGTTATTCTTTGCTTGCTTGTGCCTGCTTACTTGCTTACTTCCAAGCAACTCCAGTCCGACGCAATCGCATCGCATCGCATCGCCAATAAACCAACCAACCTCGGCAGCATCCATTCGACGATATACGTGGAGACGTCCGCTGCCAGTCCCCCAATCTCGCTGCATTTGCGGCAATTATTGTTGATAACCGGACCACGGTGAATACCCTATATATACTATACTATACACGTACACGACATATATATGCGTAGCTATATAATCCTACATGATGCGCACCTATGTAGGTAACATATGTAGCAGCAGGTCAGTCGGGTAGGTACCTAATGTAGTGTAAACAGATCAATTGGAAATGACAGATTAAGTACATACCTAAGCCTCGGGTACGGCGCATATGTAAGTCCAAGTATGTACATGTACTTATCTCACTTACATACGTCCACCCAACAACATCAGACATATCACCACAAGCACGCAAGGATCATGAAAAAAAAAAGTAAAATGAAAAAAAGTAAAGATAAAAAGTAAAATCAGTTCCATAAAGCACCAATAACAACAGCAAATCTACCTATGTAATAAGGCAAACAAATGAAACTAAACCCTTTTTACCGAGCGGAGAATCCGCCCTAGACCGAGGTTCCAATGCCAAGGAACACGAGCTATGGTTGATTCCACCCGTTAGGTCCGCGCGCCCTCAAATATAAGCTTAATCTACCTATAAAAGCATCCAGCATCAAACACGTATCGTATGCATACACGCGAGAGCGAGAGCGCATCACCATACCATATCATATCATATCATTCACCCCTCAAATCGAAGATAAAAACAAAGATAAAATCCATATCATCACAGTTATAATATATGCAAGAGATAGATATATAGGTATACTACACAAGACTCAGGCTGGTAGTATTAATATGTAGAGTACCTTCGCAGGGTCATTAATTCTATAATATAATATCGAGTTGATATTTGGCAGAGCTCCCGTCGGCTCTCGACTTTTCAACCATACCGTCATCCCGCTATCATAGTCATAATACAATCTTTTTCTGTCTGCCGACATGTCGTCCCATCCCCTTTTTATCATCCTGCGTACCACCCAATACTATGTATGTGTTGCTGTGGAAAAAGCAATGAAATGAACAAAGGTAAAAAGATACACCCGCTGATCATACAATCGTAATTTAAAATGTTCGTCTCATCGTGCCTCCTCTCCCTAATCATTTGCAGCGAAGCCTATGTAAATACTTTCTCTCTCTCTCGCTTTTGTTTCCCGGCCAGAATCGTACAGCACCCGGCAAGTGCAACGGGTGTAAGATAATAGATACTGCCTAATTGACGGCAGAGACGAAAATTATACAGACGAGAAGGCCATTAAAAATAAGTGTAGCGCTGTTGAAAGCAAAAAAAAAAAAAAGTCATTGCTGATCCGATTCCGGCAATTTTCTTTCCTTCCCAAGTCTATAAGGTACCCGGACCCGTAGCCCCGTAAACCCCGTAAGAAATACATGGAATGACAAAATAAGGAAATATAAGGAGAAATAGATAAGGAACCTGAATTCCATCCCTTATCATTTCAGCTCCGCTCTCGAGTAATAGTGACGCCTATTTACCTGCCGACTACCTAAGTAGCCCGGAATCGAATGCATAGTGATGACAGATGCGAAACAGCATCATGCATGTCCCACAGGAACCGATTGGCTGCATGGGAGTTCGTCAGGAAGCGGAAAACGGAATCGAGGGTAAAGCGATCCGGTAGAATGTACCAGAAAAATTATGTCAATGATGCAAAACCACGATAAGCGAAATGGAATATGATGTAGGTGGTGATGCTGTAGCACTCGGCGGTCCACACCTAAAGCCCTGAAGTTCCCAAACGTGACGTCATAGGGAGACGTCATACAGCCAGCAGCTAAGTCGCTAGCTCGTAGCTAGCCAGTTGCTAGCCAGTCATGAGTGCTGCGGGGGACGGCGGTCGGGCCCCAACCCAAGGGTCCTAATTGATCAGCACGGTTTGTGGCCCAAGTTAGAAGCCGGACCACCGCTAGGAGCGATCCATGCCGCAAATAGCCAGATGCATTCATTAGCCCGCAGGTCCCTGCAGATTGACGTTGGGTTGGACCCTTGATATCGAACCTATCTCCAAACGTCAACGGAACCCCACTCGCTACGCCTCGGTTTTGCTTTTGCATTGGGCATTGCATTGGGTCCGCCCTGCTTCCAGATCATTCGAGCACCATTCGAACGGCATTCGAAAAATACCCTCCAACCAAGGAACCTTCTAGCCCGTAAATCGCACTTCCCACTGCCAAGGGCAGTGCATAGGGCATACGTTGCAAAGAGTATGAGAGTTTAGGCTTCATTATGCGCCAGCTCATACGCCAACACCGCCTCGTCTCCGATGCTTGCCCGGAAATTCCACATCCGGGTGGCAGACGCGGTAATGCCTTGTAAGCGCATCTGCCCGACTAAATGTCTTCTCTTCCGTACAGAGGTCGCAGCGGACTTTTTGCTTGCGTGCATTGTGAATCGTATCTTCGTGTCGCGTAAGATCGTAGGGCCTAGAGAAGATCGTATTGCATGGCTTTCCCGTGCTCGGGTTTATCCTCTCACACTTGTGCGGCCCAGCCTGACTGTTGAGCATGTTGCCAGACATTCCACTCGTTGTTGTCGGGGATGACCTGACGTGGCTTAAGGTATTGGCTTGTCGATGCCCCTCGCGCTTGTGCTTTTGTAGTAATGCTGGCGTCTCAAACCGTAGCGTACAGCCATGATACGTACAGGTGTAAGTACCTCCATCCGCACCAGCCCCAGCTGGTTTCTGGCTTGGGATATCGCCACCCTCCGAGTTGCTAGCTTCGGTCGAGCTCACCCTTGAATATGTTGAGGTTGTAGGGGTCGAGCGCTGTTGCTGTTGCCGGTGCGCAATGAAAGGATACTGTTGTGGCATCTGTATATTGTTCGGCATAGAGAAGTTAAATGCGGCCTGTATTGGTGTCGACGCCATTGACTGGAAGGATGGACTTGAGTGTTGCGAGATGGTCCTAGACGCTGCATTTGTGGCCCCGTTGTTCGTAGGCTCCATGCTGTAACTGCTGGTCTCATGCGGCTGAAATAGCGGCATATTAGAACCATCATCCGACTCGTTGAAGTCAAGCATCGCATCCTTCGGCGAGATCGTGTTTGGTGTTCCTTGCTGCTGCGTAGAGTTGCGCGCCATCTGTTGCTGTAGTTCCTTGTCGTCTCGTTCAGCCTTCAACCGCTGGTTCATCTGTCGAGCCGATCCGATGTGCATCTGCTCCACGCCCACCTGAGGGAAATCGTTGATAGCGGAGGCGTACGGCGAGCCTTGCCGGAACGGAGATTGATCATCTCGCGATGTGCTCGAGACAGGCGATTGTACCACGCTCAGGTGTTGACTGTTCGCGGCCTGGAGCCTCTGAGCGAACAAGTCGTTACTTGGCGACATCGCCATCTGTGTATGGGGCGGTGGAGAAGCTGACGTTATAGTGAAGTTGGGGTTATAGAGCTCGTCGTTATAGATGTCGGTCATGGTGCGGTCTAGCTTAGGAACTTGTGGGTTGTGAAAAACTGTGTCATCAAGAAGTTGTAAGTAGTTGTCAAAGTCAGGATCGGAATCGCACAAAAAGGGCGACATAAGAATGGAGGCCTCACCATTCCTTGATCTTCGACAATCGTCTTCGGTCTCGTGGAAAGATGGCGTCGCGGGTGAGTCACCCGCAACTGAACTCGCCACCGAAACTGGATGAGATCTGGCAGAAGAACCACCACCAATTGACAACTCAGGAGCCGGAGCTAAGCCTCGGTCACTCCTTGACTTGTGTTGCTGCTGATTCGCTAGGTTGCTCAAGCCATCAACCGAGGATACATCGCGCGACATATGCTGACCGCTAATGATATTACGGTTATTGTGGTAGTTATTACTGTTACCATTAGTAATATTGCTATCGCGGTTGTTGAACAGGGCGTTCGCGTAGAAGTTGTCAGGCATCATAGGCTTTCCCATGCTGTATGCGTAGTTGTTTTCGCCACCTCCCATGTCGTGATACCCGTCATTCCCTGAATCGGGGACGGCGATGTGCGGATTCGATGTACTGGCATTGTACGGCGATGCTGGACCGTTAGATCCTAGCGAAGAGAGAGAGGATTCGCGCTGATGGCTAAAGCGATGTGTTGCTCTAGGGGTTTGTTGACTACTGTGAAGCATCCACGAGTCTGACGGCATCAAGTCGGGAACCTGGGTCAGACTTTGGCTGTTGCTTCCCCCCTCGAAGCTCTGTTGCGACGATGATGTCGCAGGCGTCCTGTGTCGCTGAGAAGCGGCGATAGCGGCGGCGGCAGTATCTAATGTTGAGAGTGTTGACCGGTTAAAGCCGTTATTTGTACTCGAGGTGCCGTCGAGGGTTTGCTGGGGGAAGAACTGGAAAGGCTGGTGGTTTCTTGATGAATAGCTATTGTGATCAAGCATCTGCATCATATTGTGTGACGATGCGATGGGTCGGTAGAACGAACAGTCGTCGAGTAATGTTTGAGTTTAAGTTTGGTTGTAATAGGTAGTCAAAGAAATTAAGAGGGAAATCCAAGTAATGTAAGTATTGTAGTTGGATGTAAAAAAGGTATGTTAATGCTGTAATGCTGTAATGATATGTATTAGTTCGGGTAGAATGATGGAGTGTGGGGTGGGAAGTAGAGATGTGGCGAAGATAATGACTTAAATACGGAAGGGTCCAATTGACTGACACCCGGATTACTGGAGACCAGGGTTGGAGGGGACCGACTGGGGTATAGAAAAGGTACCAAAATACCTGAGGTACAAGGAACCTTAGCTTTCCTTAGCTTAATGTTCCTTGGCTTTTTCCAATTCCTTTCTTTCCCTTCTTCTACCTCCGAGGAAACTATGACAAAGTAAACCTTGACAGAGGGTCCTCCAGTTAACCCTATTAGGAACAGGAGCGACTCGGACCGGCCAAGTCACTGAATTGAGAAAGAGACTATCCTTTGGGAAATCAGTAGTCCTATCTCTCTGTGTCTGTCTCTGCTCTCTTTCTTCCCTCCCGAATCTGATGAGTAATAGTCAGGTGGCAGAGAAGAGAAACGATGATGGCTTGATAATGAAGCGCTAGGTCATGTGGTCCAACCAAATTATTGGCTTAGGACTGCACCTCTTTGTTCTCGATCTGCTTGTCCGGATCGGCCTTTGGCCTGATTTCCGTAGCTAGTCTCTATACGGCAATTCAGCCAAGGTCGATTATATGTCGGATTTTGGTCGGTCTGTGTGCTATTCTCTGTCTTGTTCGTCTTGAGATGGATGGGAAGTTGTAAAATAAGACGGTATTTGATGATGATATTTATTGTTCAGCCAGAGGTATATATGATTAGTACGGTTGACACACTCATGCATACAAGAGTATACATCTTGAAGGGTATTATTCATCCCCAGCTTGGAGGAATACACGCGCGGATGCTGATTCGACGCCTCGATAGTCAGGGTGTATACATGTAGGTAGTTGGCGTAAGTTGAGAATGAAAGTAGAGCGCCGTGGAAAAAATGATACATTGAGTGGTACATGATATGTAATGGTTGCGGGCCTATGTATGTACAGGGGTCCCTAGCTTTAGCGGCTTTGAGAATGACGTAGCTTCGTATGCAGTTTGTATGTGTCTCTGGACAGGGGTGTATGGCCTTGCAATGATTCAAGATACATATGTGGGTCGATCTCGCAATTGGGAGGGTCGTACAAACGTCGATGATACCTTTTTCCTTTTTCTTATTCATTTTTTCGTTCATCTCCCGCTCTGGCTTGCATCATGATTCCCCATTTAGTTGGCTTGCCTAGTCCGATGCCTGTCCGACGCAGCCATTACAAGACCATTTACCCATTCTATATTTTTTGATAGGATAGGTAATACGTACCTAGGTAGGTTAGTATACTTTCTTTATATTCCGATATATTGCCGGCTATCCGCGGTAGACTGTCTGCACTGCCACGGCTAGATGGTTCATGAGCCACGGATATTCTGCAGGAAAAGGTTCGAGGCTCCCGTCCTCAGTTGGGTATCTCCGATAATAGTAAGTATTTCCGAGATAATGCAGAAAGACCAAATTTGATACGGGCAATCATTACTGTGTAAAGTACCTAAGGTAGCAGATATACGATGGTCATCTTTACATACATATTAAACACAAGGCGCAAGCCTAGAACAATTACGGACATGGAAGAGATGCATCTATGTACCAACCAACACGTGTGAGATCTAGAACCAAGCGCGGAGAATTGGTCACATGTCAAGTACCAGTCAGATCATCTCTCGTGTTAGTCAAGTCACCATCGTTCCATAGTCATAAACTACATCTATGTAATCATGAAATATACTATAGTATCATACTAGAATGTCTACGGCAACGTCGTATGGAGAAGTTAGTCATGCGCTCGAGATGAGTATATTTCGAGACATTATCCTCATTCCTCCGGGGCTCCTGCACTTCGGATGCGATGGAGTTGGCGGGATTTACGATACATTGGCGTAAAAAAGCATAAGACGCAACGGGAGTTTCGGAGTCTTGGTCACGATTAGTTACAACTGGGGTACATGCAACATAATGGAATTATTTTTCTTTTTTTAGCCTCATGCCGGCGTGTAGAATTCCAAAATCGAAAAGAAAAATGCGAATAGTTGTGCTACGGGAAATTAAGGTCCTACAAGCGAAGAGGTTATCATGTCAAATCTCGGCATTCAAGCTTACTTAGCGTTGTTCAGCCCTACATGGAATGGAAACACCGGCCCAAGTCCCAGTGCATTCCGACGAGCCCGACATCCTTAACTCCCGCGAATATAGTACGCCGGAGATGACTAACACGCCCTGTTCCTTACTCCATGTGCCCGTTTGGGTGACATACGGCCTTACACGCAGACCCCGAACCTGGTAGAGCGCAGCATCAACATTACACGTGATACACGCAAACCCCGTTTGCAATCGCGGGGTGGCTTGTATAAGTACCTTAGGTTGCAAGATAGGTAGGTAGGTACCTAAGTAATTACAGACAACGGCGAACGCCGTTCGGAGATCTATATGTATTACTTGAGCCGAGTGCATGCTTGGAAACAAAGTTGCATTTTTTATTGTTGCCCTGCCCGGCATTTCATATCCATTTCAAATTCTATTCGCGCTTACGGTTGGTAAGGCCCGAGGTTCTGGAACCGGTACAATTAGATTCTGGACCTTCAATTGGTAAGAAAAACAGAAAGGAAAAAAATTATTATTGTGGAACATTCTACATGGTGCGTGGCTGTGCTATGTATGCGCATGAAGTACCTTACATATCGGTTGTCCCGGGCGCTTGTTCCTCCCCTCAATACCTAAGGCTCCTCTTTTTTCCCACTTTGTTCCATTCTTGTTGAATTAGCGGATTTATACCTGGTCCGCAAATACTATACTTGTGATATACTTGTAATATACATAGTACTTGTCAAGCCGACTATATACATATACATACAAACCTGGTTTTGAATTATCCAATCAGAAGTATTATATATACGTATCAGACATGTTTCTTCGATCGACTTGTGCTATCCGATCGGCATATCAAACATCCGCATGTATATCCGTGGGGATCGGGAGGCAGCCCGTACAGCCCTTATGGACAAATGCAGTCTAGCCAAACCTCAACCGCGCAGATATCTAATGCGATAACTATTGATCGTGACCATTCACATTGGCATTGTGGATGTCGGCTATAATCGCTTTTGGTTATCCGTGCTTGTCATACATACATACCGTTTCCATCAACTCATGTCAGCCAGGCAAGGAATCAAACAAGTGTCAACGGCATAGGAGATCAGGGGTTAAGGATACGTATAAGCGAGCACAGCCTTTCCGTCCCGACCTATAGTGCTGACGATACACGAATCTGGCACATGGGTCTAGGGATGGGAAAGATCAGAATACGATTTCGCAATCCCCATACTTGATCTTGTTTGTGTAAGATATCCGGTCTACTGCGGCTGAAGTAACATTCAGCTTGTGCAAATACTCCCTTCCCCATTTTTTGTGGTCTCCCCCACGTGGAACTTGTTGCTCGCTTCGACCTGTTGCTCGCTTCGACCTGTTGTTCGCTTCGACCTGTTGTTCGCTTCGACCTGTTGCTCGCTTCGACCGAGACAAATACCAAGCTGGCTAGAACTACTAACTACTGCAAGAATGAGGATACCTACTCGAGAACACGAAGTCTTAGACAAGGACAGGTTACGTTGCAATTTATGAGATAGAATTTTTCACTCACATTCAGTCGGACTCGAAAATTAATGGCCGGGTCTTGGCATTTTCCTTTGAAAACAACACCATATATTATATGCAAACAAAAAGCATTGTAATGCGAAA